TTAAAAAGTGACCAAAGTCGATGTGGAACAACTAAACTTTACAGCCAATAAAAAACGTAACAAAAACAAAGGTACAGATAGTCCTACAACTTCTACACTTAATCCTACAATTTAAAAGTTTTCTCAGTAAAACCGATTTCCCCCAAAAAGTTAGATGAGAGGATGCTGGTGGGACCAAAAAACATGGTAAACTCACCCTTCCATCATCAGTCAGCATAATGTTATCTTGATGCCGATCTTTAATACCCAATACAAAAGTGGCGACACAATAACCAGCACAAGAAGCCGCAAAGCGATCAACATACTCGAGGTACCTATTACCAGTAAAAACTTGAGAGAGTGAAAAACAAACCCAATATGTACTCAACCTACCGCAGCAAATGGTTTAAAACGTGTTTTTCACTACAACAGCTTACCAACTGACTGCATTTGATCATTTTAAACTAGCTTGAAACAACACTTTCAGTCAAAATTACCAAAACTAAACTACAACAAAAATATACTTTTGTGCTCACAACCTTCTCATGAGTATACGAACAAAATTTAATTTTTGCAGATTAAAGGAACCTATTTGAATCATTTGCTCGTTCACGAATCCACTCGTCAAGCAATTCGACTTCCATATTCAGATTCATGCCCTTCTCAGACCTTTCACACTGAATTTGAAAAAGAGTTTGGCTGTTCTGGACCACAGTTATTGCACCAACCTAAAGAAACGCCAAAAAATAAGAAAAAAGAAGTTAAAAGGTTTTGCAAACTGCCTACGAATTTTGTCTTTTAAATACAAGAGCACTAATTTGAACAAATAATCCGGAAATCAATAAAGTTTAATGCAGAAATAAAGAAACTAATAAAAAAAATACTATTAAAGTCCGCATCAAAAGAGATAGTGCTCAGCTGCTAGTCATTTGCTTTTTCAAAACTCACGCTTCTCCCCATTGGAAGAACTGGGTAAAGGTTCATAGATAATTCCATGTCATTCTTCTTCCATAATGCATCCATGATAAGCATAGTGTGAAGCGTTAGCATATCTTGTCGAAGATCTTTGAAAGAAGAAAAAGTAATATAGGCGAGAAGTAAACAAGCTGTTTAATTCTTAGTGATACAATGAACTGATCGAGTAATGCTGTCTAATGAAACCCTTCTAAAGTTTAACACTTTAAAGATAACTACCGTCTCCATTTTTAAAAATAATTTGATGTTTGTTGTCATCAAGAATGTGAGATAATGGCTCAGCATTGTACCAACATAGAAACAGTGGCTGTTTTGCGCTCCCAAGAACACGGCAAGAAGTAACACTAAATTAGTAAATTGAGAAGTAATATAATTAAAAAGAAAAAACCCATAAAAAAGACTGACAAGAATATAACGCAATTGAAACAAGAAATATCTAGTCCTCTCATCAACAAACACTTACTCCAGTTTGCCCAATATATTAGTCGGCTCTAATGGAGAAGGGAAATTTTGTATTTTATCTGCATTTTCCTTTAGCACCATTCGGAAGTACTAAAAAAATATAACTTTGATATTGAAAAATTTGGTACAATACAGCAGTGAAATAATGGAAGAACATTAAGTGTTAAAAAAACAAAGCCAATAAAATGCCTCTTCAAAATAAGGATTTCTTGCAATTAGAAACAATCCAAGCAAAACTAACTTTAGTAGCCGATTCCTTGTCTTTATGGTGGCGCTTTATATACAGAGTCACTTCACCAAACCAACTCATCACGGAAACCTGTTTCATCATAATATCTAAGTGTGCACCCATGCCCCAACAAAACGCTTCGATCAAAAGAGCAAAGCGTTTGTACAAATTTGGGAGAGAAAAACTGCCATCTTTGTATTTTAGATCTAAAATTTAAGAGAATGATAAAAGTTTAAAAAAGATATACTCGCAAAACAAAAAACATTTAATTACCTATTGAAAAATATTATTTAGAAAAACTGGCCAATCAACTCAAAGTAATTTGTTCTAGACAGCACAATAAGCTACTCTTCAGCTTATAAAGTTCTTATCAAAAACCACTGTTTGAAAGAGCAGTGACAGAAACTGCGTAGGTAAGTGACGAAAACAGTTGGTCACGGAAGATATACAAAACCAGGTGAACTCATGAGAATTAAATCTGGCTACTTTCTGGCTAACAAAAGATTCATTAGGTCTGCGTCTCCCCCGTAGTCCAAGTCGTCTCCGTCACTCACCAAAGCTGCCAGTGCAATTCTACAGGTCTTTTTCCAAGAAAAGTAACTACAAAATAATATTTCGGAAAGCACACGAATTTCTGTAACTTACGCTAAATGGCTAGAAACTGATACTAAAATGAACGTGAGAAGTGCGTTAAATAACAATAAAGAAATAAAAAAAGGCAAAATCAAAGCTAAAAATAAAGAATCTGCAGCATAATGCAAAATGAGTTTTGATTTACCCATCTGCCCAAGTTCAGATCTCAGCATCCAGAAGAAAACATAAGCCACGCGTATGTTGCATAAGGCCCTTCTCAGAAGCATTTCCGCCAAAGCACTCTTGCCAAATGGTTCAGATTTCAAACCCTGTACAGAATAACCACAATTAAAAGTACTAAAGACTAACTGTTTGAAAGAAAAATTGCCACATACCACTTAAAAGAGAAACTTTGTAAAAAGATGCTTAAAAAGTATCCCCAGCAGCGTTGAAGAGATACAGAACACCGGAAAAATTAAAATAAATTCAAAAAATAAAACTTTCCAAAAAACCCTGCTAATTAATAAATACCCTAGTTTAGAATTCTGTTGTCCCCAGCTATCTTTTCAAATTCTTCGAAAGGTGCCTCAAGCTTTAAGTTACGCTCCAAAAAATTTAATAACAAACTCTTATAAACATTAAACAATGCACAATACAACTTTTTAACGAAAAAACCAAACCCGAACTGGATGAGAAATCCAATTATTCAAAAAGTGTATCAAGGAGAAAACCTACTTACTGTGGATTTTCGAGAAATATGTCCCAACAAACAAAAAATGCTACGTCTCTAACGACCTCAAATCTGCCAAAACAGATTTTCAACCTACTTTTCATAAATATAGTTCAACAGCAACCCAGGTACAAAACACTCACTGTCTTGAAGGAGCCTCGTAAGGCATTTGTATTAAAGCTTCGTGAAAATTGGTTAATTACAGCCCTAGACCTTTCTAAAGAGAAACTCAACAGCAGCATTATATACGGATATGATTAACATTTTGTAAAAATGATAAAAGACTGCCAGTGAATCGTTCTGGGGAAAAATGCAAAGGTTAATACTTCAAATTAAAAAAGTGACCTGAATTAAAGGGTTAATAAAAGCGCGAATTCGTTCGCCTGGAAGGTTTTCATCTAAATGCTTGACAGCGAATTCCCGCAAGCGATAATCTGGGAATTTTAAATCTAAAAGTTCGAAGGAAATTGCTGGATTGATAGTCTCCCATCGCTTCAAAACATCGTAAAACCGCGCCGTTAGTTCTCGAGAACTCCATATTATTGGACTTTCCGCCAAATATGGCAACAAGTTAGGTTTGTGCAACGCAATATATTCTCTTCAAAAAATAAAAGATGAATAATCTTCAAAACGCCCAAAAAGTTATTAGTCTCCAAAAGTTCCATTGAAAACAAGAAGGATAAGACTAAAGTTCCCCACTAATTATCAATACTTCTTGCTCAGTTAAAACAAATGCGCTTCACCTGGTAATCCACAGCAATTCAAGCTGTTGATTGCTCAATCGCTGGTCCTCCATTAACTCGATTTTTGCTACCTCTCTAAGTTCGTGGCTGTCCAACTAATACCAAAAATAAAAGTGAAAAAACAACATCACAGTATAACTAGATTAAAAATGATGTTCAAATTCATCATCTCCAACTATAACCGTACTCACCATATACAGTCAACCATTAGCAGCAGAAGATTAAACACTGTATAATGATAAAAAACTTTACCTCAAAGGTAGAGGCCTCTAACGGAACTTCCACCTTGCGATCGTTCATGACTCTTAGGTAAGTATCAATTTCCTCATTACTCGGGAATTGTATCACTTTTTCAAAATCAAAAAATTCTAACTGAATACTTCCCAAACTTTTATCATTTTCGATGTCAGCCTGTAAAAAACAGTAGATGACAAGACATAATTCTGCAAGCACGTTCCCTTATTGGAAGGTACGTTATTGTCTCAAAAATAAGAAAATAAAAACATTACTTCCAAGCAAAAAAAAAATTATTTGTTTTTCAGACATACACTTAACGAGCCCCGCGCAAATTTCTTTTGAAGCAGTTAGAAAGGGAATTATGCAATACGACACAAAAATCTTGTTACTCAAAAAACATCCATGACTATTTTTAACAAAAAACGAAAATCTTTTTTCAACAGCACAGCAGTGATAACTTACAGATCCCTGCGGATACAAAAAGTCATGGAAATTTTTTGGGTAAGCACGCATATCCAAAGAATATCTTCCTTGAATCAGTTCGTTTCTCCAGTTGAAAAGGCGAGTATTCGCCCAACCAATACCAACATGCTCCTAAAACAAAAATAAACAAGTGTCATTTAGTGAGATAACAATAAGAGCTAAATTATATGAAATTTCAAGCACAAGCATACCTCCTTAAGTCGCCCCTTTACCCCCACCACAGCAAGACACAACTGCGCTGCTTGAGCAATGTCGCAAATTTTCAACTTGAAATTAATATAACACTGAAAGTCATTTGCATCATTAATACTTGCAACTGCCTTTGAAATTTACTAGTTTCACAGCATATTGAACCTTTTTTTTCACCAAAAATGAATATTTCAAAAAAGATAAGCACGAAAACAAATAAATGCCAGTCACGAAATTAACAATTGGTAGGATTTCCATTCTAGGAATAAAAACCAAAAATTTTTAAAGTTAATTTACTTAAAGTAAAATCAATCAGGACCTTTGACCAGAAAGAACATAAAGAAGATGCATGTGGAGATTCCGTTACACATATGAGACTTAGACCAACGAAAATAGCTGCCCTGACATAAATGCTTTCGTAGCTATCAATTTCTGTACTAGATACATTATGCAGTTGAAATTTCAAGGTATCTGAACAATCCCAAGAAGAGACGCACTGAAACAAAAAAGTGATAGAAGTAGATGATTCTAAACTAATGAAAAATATCAGGTCCGCTAAAGAAGTAAAATCAAATAACCTTTTTCTTTTTTGCCATTTCATCCGCTATCCTTTCTTCGTATGATTCTACCCAGCTGGGCTGAAACAATTGGTGTTCAATTCTATTTTCTTTGAAAGTCACCTGGTAGTATCACTTTAAAAATGTAAAAATGTGTTAGAACAAGCGCTTACAGTAATCAGCGGAGGGGGCTGTGGAAGTTCTTTAATGACGAGGTCTCTTCTTCTCATCAAAAATTTTGGGCATCGGTAATTCTCAAATGCCTCGCGAACGTGCTAAATTCAGTACCTAGTAACTGCTAGTAATATGCAATCTGCCAAAAACAAATCTAAAAACATTACCACAAGTTCCGAGACAATTCACTTGTCTTTGCTAGAACGCTAAAACTAAAAAGTGATCAGCAAATTTAGCAATAACTGAATTTTTTTTTCTTCTTCTTCAAAAGTTCTGGTAATAATGTTCAACAAACAGTGTTTTAAAACGTCAAGTAAAATGTATAAGTAGAAGTTAAATTGTAAATAACCACCAAAAGAACTTTGAAAGATGTCAGAAAACTAAAATAATGCTAAATTTGTTAGAAACTTTCATCACTTAATCATTCGAGTATAAAGAAAAAGTTCCCTTATCCAAAGTGTTGTTTGAGCCAAGAAAACTGCAGTTCACAACCGCCCTTTATGCTAATAATTTTCAAGACGTTCGTTAACAGTAGTTAGAGAAAGCTACTTTCCGTAAGAGTGAGGTGCACTGCTCAAATCTGAACAGCACCTCTTAAAATGACGAAACCAAAGCTAGTCCAAATTTCAAGTGATCCAGAAATTTTTCAACACAGACAAACCTGATAAGTGGTCAGCAACATATCCTTAGACAAGAAGCGTTCACTGCCCACGATTTGCAGTAAAAAGTCAGATGATGCCTCAGTAATCTAAACTGGAATTGGAAAAT